TACAAATATTTAAATTAAATTTTGCTGGTTTGATGAATTATGTGCAATTGTTTAAAAACAATCAATGTTGATTCATTTATTAAAGCATAGATTTGAAAAATCTATTCTTAACATGAAAACTTGTTTTTAGTAATTAGAATTTGTTTCTATTGCTATAAGTTAAATAAAGATACCATTAAAATTGAGTTACATGCTTTAGAGCATAGGGAAAGGAATTATAAAATTATTAAAACAATAGGTGGTTTCATGATTGATTCAAAGTTCTAATTAAATATATTTGAACATGTAATAAGTTTTATAGGAAGGCAAAGTATACTCTAATTGATATGTAGAAGTGTGCATTGGATACAATAATTAATATTAAAGTAACTTAAACATACTTGTTATAAGTTACATAATACTTGTACTTTCCAGCCCCATAAGCTCAATGTAAATATTTGTAGCATACAAACATTTTAATGTGTGAAGTAAATCAGCTTGTTATGTTTTATTTTATCAAAATTATAATACTCTTATATTCATAATATGCTCTATTTATATTAAGATAAATATTATCATAAACATAATATGAAGAAAATAATGAAATATACAAAGTGAACCAATTATTATCACTTAATTTTTTCTGAAATTACATATAAAGTACAACACAAATTTTTAAGTAAAATTTGCTTGCAACAACTGTTTCAAAGATGAGGTCTAAATAAGAGATTATTTAAAGAATAACACAAGATTAAAAAGATGAATTTTTATAAACATTTAATTTACAAATTTTTAGCAAAAGAATCTACCAATAAAATTTGTAGTTATTCGTTTTTTTGTACAAATTTTCGGAAATGATTATGGTGTTAATAATCAGTGGCCCATCTTGTACAATTACGTGATACATAATAAACATTTTCTCTAAAATCATTTGTTGTTTCATTTTTATATCCTATATAATAAATAAGTATTAAAAATTGTGGTTATGGTTATAGTTCATCATCATTCATCATATCCATGGTACTGCATGCTGCATGTATACCGCAGTTCACCAGAGTCCATAACTGCGAAAAGACCAGTTTTCGTTCTTCGCGCTTCTCCAGTACGCATCTTCGCCCTGATTGGCGATACTCCCAAACGAAGTGAAAAGCGATTAGCAGAGAGCTCTCTGCGTTCCCCCACCATCTTCCAACCTGCGCGTTGCAGTTATGGACTCTGGTGAACTGCGGTATACTGAATTTGTGAATCGCGCATTAAACCATTAAATGATATTTATTTAATAACTGTGTGTTAAAAAAATAGTCATTATGTCAATGATAATATCTTTAAAACATAATATTAAGTTAAATCCACTGTTAACTCAAAGTTCATACATTTGGAAGGTAAAAATTTTGGCCTTATTAATTTTAACCTCATCTAAATTATTACCCTATTAAAAACACATGCATGTAATTAATATACTTTGTTATTTATTAAAACAAATAGAATTTACGACAGTCATCGTCACATTCGAAATATGCAGAACACAAACGGTTGGAAAAAATTCGAAACATTGGTATATCAGCTCACATTGATTCTGGGAAAACCACCTTGACAGAACGTATATTATATTATACTGGAAGAATAGAGAAAATGCACGAAGTATGTAAAATATGATCTGAACATATAATGTGCTACTATTTAAAATATTTAAATACATAGTTGCTTTTCTGCTTTATTGTTGTAACACATAATAGGTGAAAGGTAAAGATAATGTTGGAGCAACAATGGATAGTATGGAATTAGAAAGACAAAGAGGCATTACGATTCAATCTGCTGCAACTTATACCATGTGGAAAGATCATAATATCAATATCATTGACACTCCTGGTCATGTTGACTTTACTGTAGAAGTAGAAAGAGCTTTACGTGTTTTAGATGGAGCTGTACTAGTATTATGTGCAGTTGGTGGTGTTCAATCACAATCAATCACTGTAGATCGGCAAATGAAAAGGTATAAAGTACCCTGCTTAGCATTTATTAATAAACTAGATAGGTTGGGAGCTAATCATCGCAGAACTTTGGAACAATTGCAAGGAAAATTAAGACACAATGCTGCATTTGTACAGTTGCCTATTGGCTTAGAAAGTAATAATAAAGGAATAATAGATTTAATTTATCAAAAGGCTTTGTATTTTGAAGGAAATTTTGGTGAAATTGTAAGAGAAGATGAAATTCCGGCAAATATGAGAAGTGGTATGACTTAATAAATGCAAATGCTTTATTTATCATTATAAATATTGCATCATTTTGGTTGATTCATAAATTTATATTTTCATATATAGAAGCACAAGATAAAAGGCAAGAATTAATTGAGAAATTGAGTAATGTTGATGAGAAACTTGGAGATATGTATTTAAACGAGGCAAAAGTACTTGAAACAGACATAAAAGATGCTATTAGAAGAACGTGCATGAGTAGAAATTTTACACCAGTATTCGTTGGAACTGCTTTAAAGAATAGAGGTGTCCAACCGCTATTAGACGGAGTTGTGGACTATTTACCAAATCCTGGAGAAGTAGAAAACTATGCTCTTAAACAGAATGAGTAAATTTTAATTACATTTCTATGTTTCTGAATCCAATTATTTATTGCTGATTGAATGATGAAAATAATCAATTTGTTATTTATAGAGATGAAACTGTTAATGTCCTATTAAATTCTGAAAGAAGCAATCAATATCCATTTGTTGGATTGGCATTTAAATTAGAAGCTGGCCGATTTGGTCAGCTCACCTACTTCCGTTGTTATCAAGGAATGTTGAAGAAAGGAGAACATTTATACAACGTGAGAACACGGAAGAAGGTATGTCTAATTGTTGAAAACGTATACTTAAGTTGTGAAACGTGTGTACGAATGTATTATTTTACAGGTTCGAGTTCAGAAGTTAGTAAGACTTCACTCAAATCAAATGGAAGATGTAACAGAAGTTTATGCCGGCGATATTTTCGCTTTGTTTGGTATCGATTGCGCATCGGGTGATACATTTGTTAGCAATGCTAGTGTAGAGTTGTCAATGGAATCTATCTATGTTCCCGAGCCTGTAGTATCAATGTCCATTCAAGTAAAGGATACAAAAATGAGAGACAGTTTCGCGAAAGGTATCGGGCGATTTACCAAAGAAGATCCTACATTCAGACATTATTATGATACAGATAACAAGGTAAATTTGATAAATTACAAAATATAGATGCAATGTACATATACGTTATGTTTGAAAATAATGTGAAAAAAATTTGATGTAACACGCTTTAGGAATCTCTAGTTTCTGGAATGGGAGAGCTGCACTTGGAAATTTATGCTCAGAGGCTTGAACGCGAATATAATTGTCCTGTGATTCTTGGAAAACCAAAAGTTTCTTTCCGCGAAACATTACACTCGCCTTATGAATTTGATTATCTTCATAAAAAGCAAACAGGAGGAGCTGGGCAATATGCTCGAATTGTTGGAGTATTAGAGGTAAAAATTTACTTCAACGAAGATATATAATAACTTCTATTAAATATATCTTAATATATATGAAAATATATTATATTTCAGCCTTTGCCACCTGAACAGAATACTGAAATTATATTCAAAGACGAAACGGTGGGAACAAATATTCCAAAACAGTATATTCCTGGTGTAGAAAGAGGCTTTAGAGCTATGTGCGAAAAAGGGTACTACAGTGGTCATAAATTGGCAGGTGTTAAGTTTAGACTAATTGATGGTATGCATCATTGTGTCGATTCTTCGGAACTTGCGTTCTGTTTAGCCGCGCAAGGTGTAATGAAGGAAGCGTTCAATAATGCACCTTGGTATCTATTAGAACCAGTTATGTTAGTTGAAGTAACTGTCCCAATAGAATATCAGGTAAAAATACATTCTGGATACACGATAGTGCTGCAAATAGTATCTTGCATTAATCTAAATTTCGTTTTTGATACAGGGAATAGTTGTAGCTCAATTAACTAAACGACATGGTCTTGTAAACGATACAGACGTCAATGAAGGATGGGCTGTTTTAAAGGCAGAAGTTCCATTAAATAATATGTTCGGTTACATAGGTGAATTGAGATCTACTACTCAAGGAAAAGGAGAATTCACCATGGAATATGCGCGTTACACGCCTTGTATACCAGATGTAGAAGAACAAATAGTAAGGGAATACCGAATAGCGAATAATCTGGAGACTGTAGCGCAAAAGTCGAAAAATTAATGACTTTACAACTACTAATTTAGGAATTATTTTGACTCGTTATGTGATGTATGAAATGAATGTGATGATGAACGTGAAACGATCGAATGTAAAAAGTAAGATATAATAAAAAGTAATTTATACGATATGCGAATAATGTTAAAATTGAAAAATTCCTAAGCCTCGTTAGTATTAAATCGTAACATGCAAAAACTAACAATAAGCAACAGATTCGAAATTTCGACTACGAATGCGATACAGGAACTTTAAATCGATTGCGTGTCTCGAAGTTGCTTTTTGCCTCGTCAGTGTTAAATCGAAAAATTAATTAAAAGTAACATGCGAGAAGTAATAATAAGTATACCGCAGTTCACCAGAGTCCATAACTATGACGCGCAGGTTGGAAGATGGTGGGGGAACGCAGCGAGCTCTCTGCTAATCGCTTTCCACTTCGTTTGGAAATATCGCCAATCAGGGCGAAGATGCGCACTAGAGATGCGTGAAGAACGAAAACTGGTCTTTTCGCAGTTATGGACTCTGGTGAACTGCGGTATACTTATTTACTTATGAAGCAACTACTACAAATTCCAAATTTCGACTACGATTGCGATTGCGATTCTCGAACCTTAAATCGAAAAATCAATTAAAAGTAACATGCGAGAAGTAATAATAAATAACTTACTTACTTATGAAGCAACTACTACAAATTCCAAATTTCGACTACGATTGCGATTGCGATTCTCGAACCTTAAATCGAACGCGTGCGTCTCGAAGTTGTTTTTTAAAATGGCGTTGCCTCGATGGGTAGCGCTGCAGTCGCATGTGCATCCATGCGCGCTTTGCCGAAGTTCCTCGATCAGTAGCGCAGTAGCGCAGGAGCAAGTATAGGGTGGAGTTGGTGAGTGTCGAGTTTCTCTTAACATCTCGCCTCGTCGTCTTAAAAGACGAGTGGCTGGTAACGCCAAAGAGGATATTTGTGTCGTGCTTCCGCGTATACGTGCCCAAAAAATGTAATATGGCGATGGTCGCGTCGAACATGAGCGGCCACATACAGAAGCAGCTCACCAGAAGTCTTGAGCGAATCCTGGAGGAAGCACACTTGAGCGGTGAACTGAAGCTTAGCGGTCGAAAACTTAAGGATTTTCCAAAAGTCGGAAAACCGGGATCCAGCAAATACAATCTTCAGGACACGGTCTTTGCCGGTGAGTCTTTCGCATAAGATATTCCTTTCCTTGACATTCCGATTCTAATTTATATCTTAATTCTTTCATTGCTACTCCATAAAAGACAAAAGAAACGTCACAGCGTTCTAATCTCGCCACGACGTTTCACGCGATACCAGATTGAAATTCTTTCGGAGTTAACCTCGAACACTCGTGTTTATGTCATATTCACGCGTGTGTGTCGCGCCGAATGTTATCCTGCGAATGTACACACCGCACGTTATACTTCTCGATTGTACCTATGCATCGGTTTCATTCATTAATCGCGACATTTTGCGTTCGAAAGAAAAAAAGAAAAATAATAGCTACTCCAAGGTACCGTATGGTTTTCGAATAAGACAAATCACGCTTCTTTCGCGGTTTACATGCATCAAAGTGTTACATAATAGAAGCGCATCTCATATTTACGGTGCAACGCACCAGGCTCATGATTTCTCGAAGCAGTAAAGGTGCGACGTATGGACAGGAAACAGGATGGCGAAGAGGTGAAGTAATAAAAAGTCTAAATACACAGTGACAGCTGCACGGCTATATACCGTGGAATGCAGTTTCCACCTAACGTCGAGTATTATTTTCAATTCTCAAATCACCGTGGTATTAATAGTTTACCAATTCTAAATCAATTCATCGGCATTATTTACAGAGGCATCTAGCCAAAAGAATGCAGCGCATAAAGTATCGTACTGTCCGTAGATGTTTGCGAGATGTTATCACGACACACCCGGTGTTTCCTGTTACCGCGATAACCGTGCATTCGACAGCGCTTGAAACCACCGTCAACTGTTACGTGCGCAGAAGCGTAAGGAGGCTCCAACTTTGAAGACTGTCAATAATCTTGTCAAGTTCAGATAAGCGTGAACCGTCTGTTAATCAGCAGTCTATTCGCTAGAAACTTTTCAACGTTTTCACTTTGTGTCATTTCTTCAATACTGTCGCGATAAGAGCCTGGCGTTTTGTAGCGGGCGCCATCCCCGCTATGTTTTTAAAACTGTACGCGAGGAAGTACCACGCGACAGGAAATAATAACTGCGATCATCGTTCGTTATCGACGATAACCATTGAAAGAATATCGCAGCGAAAATCCTTATCATTTATGATTCAATCCAGATAGTATCGAGCTATCTGTGTCAGGACTGCACCCTTCGAGAGCGAGTTATCTCTCGCGGTGCATCGATTACACGATATCGTTTGCAAACACGATACAGAGGTATAAGCCAAGACGAGTAACCGAGAGCTTAGAATAATCATGAAACATCGTCGAGACTCGGTGCACGTACCTCGGCGCAAAGGAATTATTCGTCGTCGCTCAGGTGTATTTTAATCACGACTCCATCATGATTACTCGGCCCGTGCCAAAGGAACAAACAATTATCCTGACGTTTCGTTGGTGCACCGTTGGCTTATCGATTTTCGATGGCGATTCTTTTGCCGAACGAAAGGGAACGAAGCAATTTCGGCCTCGACATCGTTCGATTGCCGAGGGATGAGCCAGCGAAAGGGAACTTTTGTTACAATTTCGCCCTCGAGTATTATCGAGGCGATGCTCGTCGTGTTTTCTTACGAAGAGCTTGTACGAGGACGACAGAAGGGGACGTAACTTCATTAAGGAACCCCAGGTCAGTTCATGCCACGAGGGACGAATAGAGCGACGAATCTATGACACGCAAATAGAGCAGCACGACGCATAGAGGACAACGAGGAGAACGTCGAGAATGAAAATTACGCGACCCTGTCTGTTCGCTATCTAAATTCTCATTTATTTATATTTACGGAATAAATAATTGCATTGAACTCTTTTCATTCAACCGGTTTCCTAGTTTTCCGTTGGCTCCGTTCACCGGCGAAACTCACGACTTTGATATGTGTCGAGTAGACATCGAGAAAAAGGTCTGCCTATTGTCTCCGAATGCATATAAGCAACCTCGAGTCGATCGATGAGGAAACAAAACGGTGCAAGGAAATAGGTTGGATACCGGCGTAGACAGGCTAGCTAAACGATTACTAGTCGTAGACAAATTGTTTCCTCACAGTCGATTCAATGCAGACCACTAACGAGTGTGTATCGTTGATTACTATTGCTTTCATAATTGCTGTAACGTCAGCATCCCTTAAGATTCGAGCTCGTTAGGACGGGAGTCGAATCGCGTTAAATAGCAAGGGAAAGCAGGGTATACCATTTCTAGCAACGGGGAAAAAAGCTTCTTATCGATTATGTCACGGTGCACTGCGCGCTTTCTTCGAGCAAGGAAAGAGAGAGAAGAAGAAAAGGGTGAGATCCTTTTATTCTTCTTTCTAACCCTCGTCTTTGTTCGCCGTTTCCGATGCATTAACTCGGCTCCGCTTCTCAGAAACGGAATATTTTCGCTGTACATTCAAATTAGTATCCTTAGGTAACGGGACCCGTGGTTCTTTCGAGACGTTGGCTCCGTTTCACGCGAAACATCTTCGCTGGTTATGACATTACGGACCTTAGTTATAATGTCTCTAACGGCACGTGTTGCGCAAGAGGAACATACATATTCCAGATGCGTTTGTTAACCCTCGGACGATGAGTCAGCGAGACTCTTTTCATAGCGTTTCTCAGGAAACGCGAAGGGTTAACGTTAGTCCGTTGACGATTCGACTGGACGAGACCGGATCGACCTGGAGCGATTCGGGAAGAGTACGCCTTTCTTCTTCTCCCGACCGGTTCTCCTCGTAAGACACCTGTCGCGAACTCGGTCGTGATCGCGTGGAGGTAAGAAAGCACGTGGAACGGAACGAGCGAGAGAAAAAGAAAGCCTTCCACAGTGAATTCCTTGCTTCTTCTCGTTACACGCAGTTTCTCGACCGGTCGCTGCTCGTAAGGGTGCAAAGTGCCGTTTCCAAGGGTGGATAAAGCACGGATCTACGCGAGGAAAAGAAAACGTCGAGGGAAGAGTAGCCGGCATGGTTATGGGAGAGTCCCATGCAATGGGACTGGGTCTGAGCTAAAGATAGAGATACAGCAGCTGCCAGAGGCAGGGGTGCCAACAGGTCGATACTCCATAACGCGTTATATCGTTCGCCTTGCCTCCTCCTAGCTGCTGTTCGCTTATCTCCGCCAAAGGAGCACTCTTTCTAGATGAAGTCTTCTCGAGCGAGGGAAAACCGAGCGCTACGACGTGGAAACTTCTCCGGGCAAAGTTGAACCGATGTATCTTGTTTTATGAAAATTCTTCTGCAGAATAACAGATGTTATTCGAGCAATCTGTCGTTCGACAAATGTGGTAAACCCAACGCGATTTGCAGCGCTTGATGCATCTTTGCATTCTCGTGTCTCTGGCTACAGATCATATCGCATACGCTTCGAGAGTACTCGATGAACGTTCACGATAGCTAGTATCTTTGCATCACCCGTGTCCTCGAGTTACCCCCTGTCTTTAGCTTATGCATCAACGTTCGTGATAAACGACGAGGGCTTCTTCTTCTTCCTGATTCTTCGCCGACTTTTCCAGCGAAACCTCTTCTAGATAAAACTTCCAATACTTTAATTCCCATGTTATCTACACGAATATCTATAAATCAAGTTAAGATAAGTCGACGTGTTAATCAGTTAATCGACACCTAATACGAATGTTCGTCGAGTACGAGATTGCCAGTAAAAGGAGACATTAATTAAACTTGTAGCGCCACGGTTTAGAACCTGAGGCGCTAATTAGCGACGGAAAAGCATCCGCGTACGAGGCAGGCGAAAGTAGTCGCGTGGAAGATGGAAGAAGATAGCTTCTTTGAAAATGCACCGTTTTGAAAATGCAACGGCGAGGAGTGTCGCGCGTGCAAGGGAACGTGTTAGTGCTGGTTTCGTTGGCGAGTTATAATTAGCAGTATCACAGGGCCGTCCTAAGCAGACCAACCGAGCCCACTCTACATTTTTAACAGTCCACTAGTCGGGTCAACTTTGATCTAAATTATTTCACGTTGAAATTGGAGCAGACTAGCTCGAGCTCCGCCTCGAGGGTACCATTACCGATACAATTTTCTTTTAATTATTCGATCGTATTCGTGGTCAGCGGTGACCCGCGCCGACAGTCGACGCGTTAATCGACTGCCCCACGGTTCACCGTTACGACACCCTGACGTATCCTGTTCGGTAACCGCTGAAATTCGAGAGGGCTTTCACGGTCGCGACCTTTGTCGAGCGTGGCGAACGATCGGGTTCCCCGGTGTCCCCGGCTCGCGTTCCACGAGTTCGCGAACTGGGTCAGACCGAAAACGACCAGCATCGGTTTGCCGATTCCCGCAAGACGCAAGCTCGTGAAACATTCGTTGGAAGATAATCCGAGATGAACACCGGCGTCGAGTGCTCTGCAAACGTTATCGCGTCGAGGGTGGCGCGCGATATTAGAAAACGGCATGCCGAAGCGGAGCGGAGTGTACACCCCGTTACACGGCAACTCGACAGCGAAAGAAGCTTCGCTCGTGTTTGCCTGTTTCTGCCTACGTTGACTTCAACGTTGAACTGCCTGGAGAAATGGGTCAATTGTCTTTTTCTTTCCTACTTTCTTGAACTCTCGCATTCCTTAATTGATTCGTGTTACAAGAAATTTTTGAATAAAGAATTAAAAAGGACAGAATTGTCGATCGACCGTCTTAACTTGGCACAGTGGTCTCCCGTCGCGTTTTATCCGTCGATAAATTCTAGCCGCATTGCGGATATGAAACGCGTCTACTTTCAACGTGTATTCAACTTCTTTCGTGAATACTTAAACGAACGGACGTAATTTTCTTAGCGAGCTGTAAAAGTAAACCCGATCGATAACGCTCGGACAGGAAGAAAGATTTTTCGTTAGAAAGCGACTAACCGATGCGTATCAGCATTCGAGACAGGTAGAAGAAAGGGACGGTCGCTAATTATCGTTCCAGGTAATCTGATTTGTCAGTTCGTGCACGCGTCTTACGTGGCACGAGTTGAAATTACCCGTCGACAGATACAGTTATTAGCAACGTGTTACGATTCC